CCTGTCTGACTCAGCCCATTGTGGGCTGTGCTTGTCATCTTTGACCCAAACATATCCTCCATCTGAATAGGCTAACTAGTAATAGGCCACACCTGAGTTCCTCAGATAGAGTAAATGAGGTCCACACTGAAAACTGCACAGAGTAATTTACTATCAAAGAAACCCAGAGTCTTTTGTTTTGCTCCTGAGAGTTTTCAAACTGTATTAATTTGTCTCTATTTACAGAGCCAAGTTCTGCCCTCACCTATGCATCTGCCCAACTAACTGATGCCAACAAGGTTTCGTGGCTGTGAGATTATTAGATCTATAGTAGCTATGTGATTCATAGGGAATGTTTTCTTTGAGGTCAGTGGTTAGAATTTCTCTGCCAGTGCATGCAATAAGTGTGATGGGTCAGACTCTGCTCCCTCCTCTTTGTTCACAGGGCCCACTTTGAAGATCTCTGCACAAAGTGAAGTCAAGGGTTATCTATGCAGATCCCTGGGCAGGATCAAGTCCTATAACTTAGAGTGGGGCCTCTTGAGCAGCACCTCTCAGGATATAAAGATGTTGTACATTATTTTGTACAGATAGTGGGTCTCTAAGCAAGGATATACTTTAATGGCCTTCATATTTTGTACAATAAATACAACAAAGATCTGTTTACCTGATCAATACAGAGTAATAAGCAATAAGTGTGGGGAAGCACAGAAATGCATACCTGAACATCATATTCCTTAAAATGAACACAATTATTATTCCTTTATTATTTCTTGGCTTATGTCTCATCTGCCAATAGGAGACAACTAACAAAAAATAGGACTGACTGTTCACTTTCTGTTTGAAAGTCTCACCAGTAAAAATTTAAACCACCACTATAAAGTGTTGCTTATCTTTTTGTTGCTTATCGTCTGTCATTCGCTAAATGAGTCAAAGTGAAAATTACCAAGTCTTGTGTAAACAAAACAAAAAAGTTGGGACTTCTATAAAGAGCAATAGAATTTAACAGCTATAAATAATCTTGTCTGTTTGCAGGCTGTATATGCATATATCTATTTTGGCATCATCTATTTGAAAAATAACTAAGCTTCCCATAACAGAAGGCTGCTCTGCTCTTTCAAGGCTGCAATTCTCTGCTGTTTGCCAATACATTTTCATCAGCAGTGTAAGACCAAGATAATATAACATCTTTGTTACACTTGTATACACATAATCATACATAAAAATGGGGAACTGTTCCCCCCCCCCACACACACATTTTGTTTGTATCTTAAGATTTGCCACCGTGTGTGTGTGTGCATAAGTCACTATCTTTTACTTAAACTTAACGGATATCTATAAAGGGTGAAATAGGAGAAAAATGGAAGTGTGAATTATTTGTGTGTACTAAAACAAATACAAGAAAACTATGTAAAATAGTTTCTATTACTATGCTGCAAATATAAGTAAATTACACATTAAATGCTATGTGTGTGTGTAATTATCAATATTCCCAATAACATTAGAAGTTGTTTATATGCCTAAAGAAATGAGAATCTCTTCTTGACAGTTTACTTGTGTGATTTAGATGTTTATATTTCTATTTATTAAAATATCCTTAATAAATACAGAAAGGGCACGTCTTTCTAACCTCCCATACTATGCAGGAGCGCCCACAATCAAAAATATTTTTCTTTCCTTGCTAACATGCATTATTCTCCCACTCTGCTACTAGTTTTCTTGGAACAAAGTTGAAATTTCTAAAATTCAAGTTAACAAGAAACAAAGTACAAAGAGAGGGTTGGCTGGCTGTTTATATGTTGTAATGAGGCCTTGTGGGAGGCAGTTCATCTGCAATTGCTGGTTCTCAGCTTGTTCTATCCCTGCAATTGCTATGCAGTTCATTTCTCTTGAGAAATTGCATTTTTCTAGACAATGTACCATCATCATATTTTGGAAGCTACACTTCTAAGTGAAAAGAGTGTGTCATCTTCAACAGATACATTTTGATATTTTGTAACATTAATATGTCCATCACATTTTGCCTACCCAGCTGGTTAATTGTGCCATCAGTAAACGGTACCATCAGTCAATATGCTTGGGGCAGTATGATTTACTGGCTAAAATAAAACCTGAAAGAGATGTCGAGTGATTTTTTTGGAGGGGAGGAGGAGGAGCGGGAAACAAATACTTAGAAAGATGGCCCAGACTACAATCATCACTTTCAGGATCATCACCCGCTGATCTTCAATGTCATGCAAAGACTTGACTTTTTTTTGGCTGCTTGTGCTCCTGGACATCAAAATAGCAACACTGACAAGAAATGCCTATGGTCATCCACAGTGGCCAAGAGAAGACATGGTCACATGAATTCAGACGTTTCTCACCTCCACGCCTGACCACCACAATTAGCTACTGTAAATGTGAGGATGGAAGAGAAAACCAGGAAGTTTCAGCAGGCAACAGCAGCACAGCAAGATTTAAGCACACCGTTTTTGAACTTATGATGTTACACTGGCTCCTTGTTCAGTACTGGATTCAGATCAAGGTCCAGATGGTGATCTTTAATCATCTCACATGAGCTGCACCTGGGATATCTCAGGAATGGCCCCTCTTTCTCTTTCTTTGAGACCTACTTGACAGCTGTATTATTTGGGGATGCTAGAGTTAGAAATGGTGAAAACTATATAAGTAGGAGGCAAGCCTTTCCAGGCAGCTGGCCCACAGCTGTACCTTTACACCAGTAAATAGAACAACTTCTGGTTTTCTTGCTGCCTGAGGGAAATATGAGATCATTTCATTGCCACAGCTTTCCCACAATAATAATGCTAAAGAACGGGTTGCCTCACTCCCGAAGATAACTAATACAATAACAGTTTTAAATGTTCATGTATTTGACTAGTATAAGGAAAATGAATTCAGTCTTTCTGATATGATTGCTTTATATAATATTGTTGGTGTTTGGGAAACCCCAGAGATGTATTCTGAGGAACTTGCATGGAAAGATGCTGATCAGTATATATATATATGGGCTACGTCTACACTGGCCCCTTTTCCGGAAGGGGCATGTAAATTTCACTAGTCGTCGTAGGGAAATCCGCGGGGGATTTAAATATCCCCCGCGGCATTTAAATAAAAATGTCCTACTTCAAAGTAGGAATAAGAGCCTCCGGAAAAGGGCGCTTTTTCCGGAGGATCGGGGCCAGTCTAGACGCTCTTTTCCGGCTTTTTTAAAAGCCGGAAAAAAGCGGCGGACATTTTTATTTAAATGCCGCGGGGGATATTTAAATCCCCCGCGGATTTCCCTACGACGACTAGTGAAATTTACATGCCCCTTCCGGAAAAGGGGCCAGTGTAGACGTAGCCAGTCAGTCCAGACTGAACAAGATAGATTAGAAAGAAATATTTCTAGGTTCAGCTTGCACATAAAACCATGCATCAGTTCAGTTAATTAATATTACTTTATATTTCTCTAGAGCCAGCTTGTGAAAATCCTCAATTGCACATATTATTCAGTGGTTCATGGCATTTTTTAGCACAGATCTCAGTGTATTTGCCAAAAATGGATAGATTATTATTTCCATGTCACAGATGAAGTAACAGAAGTTAACTGACTTGTCAAGGTCACAGTGAGTAGTGGCAGAGCTGGGAAAATGAATTCAGATCTCTTTACTGCTAGCTCAATCTACTAGATGGCGGATGTCACAGATTTTTTTTTAATAGCTGTGTAGTTGGGATATTCTAAGAAACTCCACCAGATACATGTGCAAGGAGTTTAACCAAGGTAGTTAGAACCTCACTTTGCCACTATCTAGTGATAACAAAGGGTATGTCTACACTTGCAGCCTAATTCGAAATAGGGCTGCAAATGTAGGCATTCGGAATTGCAAATCAAGCCCAGGATTTAAATATCCCACGCTTGATTTGCATCTTCCTGGCTGGGCGCCATTTTTGAAATTGACAAGCCCAGAATAACTGCCCACGTCTACAAGTGGCAGTGAAACGGGAGTTTGAAATAAAACCCTATTTCGAACTACCTGTTAAACCTCATTGCAGAAGGAATAACAGGTAGTTCGAAATAGGGCTTTATTTCAAATGCCCATTTCATTACCGTGTGTAGTCAATTTCAAAAAATGGCGCCCAACCGGGAAGATGCAAATCAAGCGCGGGATATTTAAATCCCGGGCTTGCTTTGCAATTCCAAATGCCTACATTTGCAGCCCTATTTCGAATTAGGCTGCAAGTGTAGACATACCCAAATTTATACCAATTTTTATTTTTCAACAATTCCAGCAACAGAGGATTCACATTCTGCCCTTCTTCCAATTAAAAAAAACCCCTAAAAATCCTCCCAACGCTCCCCTTCCCCAAAAGATTAATGGCTCACAAAAAAATCATATTAGAAAGTTGTCCACAGTTACTTTTAACATGATCCAAGTATTGTAGTTTTCCCATGGGATTCTTACTAATAATGATGGTTAATAAGTATAGTATAATATCTGTTTTATGATCATCTTCAACAAAGAGATGAGAAGTGTAAGCCTCACAGAATGCCTACTAAGCTCTTAAGCAGCACTCTGCAAAGTAGTCTTGTGAGGTAATACTGTGCATACTGTAATCTCAAGGATTTTCCATGATGAAAAATAAACTGGTTAGCACTGAATTAGACTGTTCAGGCTTGATTATATAATTCATTAACAGTTCCAAGCATACTCAATAGAAAGCTCAAGAGTTGTAATGTTTAAATAATAGAATGAAGACTATTTCTTGGAATAGTAAAATTCTGATGTTTTAAATCCTGTGACACTGTTTTCATAAACTCAGTAATACAAACCATGTGCTGGGTGATGATTTTCTGAAAAATTCCCTGGTTTCATAGTGCATTTTTATTACAGGCCAAATGTGACATTAAATTTTATCCCCTGTGACTTGGAGTTAAATACTTGCTCTGTTCAGAATAGCAACACTCAATTAAACAGCATTTTTCATGATCTACGCCCTCTATTGTTACTGTGTTTAAGGGAAATAATAGGAGCACTGACCTATATTGCGCTTCTTATTATCGATGGAGATGAAGCGTATGCAGGGATTATTGGTGATGTACTGTGCAGCCCAGGGGACATCAATCCATGTGCCAGCTTCATAAAAGAGTCCCAGAGCGTAGCGAGAGGAGTAGCTCACAGATTCCAGTTGCTGCTTTTGACTTTCCTTAATTACTGTGGAAAAAAAGTAGACAATCACTTTTCTCTTAGAGCATTAAACTTGTGAATATGATAGCTAAGCTGATTAATCTTTTCCTAAAACAGGACTAGGATACTCAAAGTCTGTTTATCATTTAATATTAAAAGCTTCTTATTCTTTCTGCGTGATTTATCCAAACATTTTAGAGGTACAGTATTAATTGCATCCTCGATGCACTCACATTTTGTTATTTTTCCAGTAGCTGACACTGACATATACCTTTTATGAGAAAAGTCTGATTCTAGAGCCCTTAGCTCTGGTGTGTTTAGTGGGATTACTCATATGAGAAAATTCTACTCCGTGTGTGTCAGAGCTGCAGAATAAGGCACTTAGTGGCCAATACACTATTGTTATGTAACTGCCTAAACAAAATAGTTGTACATAGAAACAGATTCTTTATCTAGGAACCCTTGAAACTTTGGAAAAAATAGTGATTTTTGGTCCTGATTCTCCAGTCTGTCCCATTTCTACAAAGCTTGGTTGCGCTTACTGCCATCAGTGTTAATTATTACTGACTTCAATGGGATTTAAGTATACACTTGAAGGTAAGCACGCGCTTAAGTGCTTCACTGAATTAGGCGTTAGGTCTCATGGGGGGTAAATAAGAAGTGTACTGAACCACCGAGAGAGCTACTGACCCATAAGGTGAAGTACACTGAGAAGAATGGGTACTGTGAGGGGATGGGCCAGCAAGAACATTGGGTTGGGCACACAGCATGAAGCACTGACAGTCACTGGCTGACGGAGATTATGTTTCAGAAGAACAGTGGGAAACATTTTTGTCATTTATTGGCACTCATGGCTGCCAGTGCCTTTATGTCTTCCAAGTCCAACTCCACAGCACATTCAAACACCACAATTCATGGCGAGCAATAGGAAGAACTGCAAATCCTAGAACGGGTGGGCAATAAAATGGCAGTAGTTCACCAGGGTTAGTCCCTGGTGGGCCACTGCTGCTACACAGCTATCTGACAATCACAGCTCTCGCTGGCTGTGAATTGCTGTTTGTGGACAATGTGAGCAATGGGAAGCAGCATGGATCAGGATGCCACTTCCTGCCGCTCGCATTGGCCACAAACGGTGATTTGCAACCAATGCGTGCTGCAATCGTCTGATACCTGCAGAGGCACATATAAACATAGTGGTGGGGGCCCATGAGGGATTAACCCTGGGGACTGGATCTGGCCCGTGTGCCGGAATTTGCCCACCCCTAAAACAAAGGAATTACTCTCAGTCCATCTAGTTCAGTGTCTTCCATCCTCATCCTATTTTAACTTTTTATTATAAACCTGAGCTCTATTGTAGACAAATAACAAGCAACTTGATAAACGAGGGGCAATAAAGAGACAAGTGCACCTTGGGCAAAAGTCAAGAAGTAACCTACCATCACAATAAAAAGGATATAGAAAAATATCCAAAGGAAGGTGCTGCAAGACTATTTGTTATTTTTTTAAGTTTTTAAAAATAAAATATTATTCTGTTAGCTGTGTGTATTTTAAACTTATTTAGAAGCTTTTAGTCCAATTCTAAATCAATTTTTCTGTTACAACTCTTCTCTTTTCCCATCTTTAATTAGTTTGATTTTCACCCTTATGTAATCTTTATAAAATATTGGAGAAATTTTTACTGTTTACACCACAATATTTACTGAGCTACAGTAAACAGACTGATATTTTTGTACTGCTAGCATACATAGTCAACAAAATATTTGAGAAATTAAGTTATTAGATAATAAGATGAAGTACAATTACAGGATATCAGAGTTTTCCTGTCTGTCATATGTGAAGTTTCTCCTTCTATTATCATGTTTTACAGATTCACTATAATAAAAGAGACAAGAAACCAGTCTAGGAGAGACAAATAACTAATTCTCAACACATCTAGTGTTACACTGAATTACATCAAAAGCAAAATGATTAGCAATTTTTATAAAGGCATTATTAGGCATACTGAATACTTGTATCCAACTACAGTGCCTAGTATACCACATAGCAACCAGACAACCGTGAGATTTTACCAAGAGGGAATAGATTGATTTTATTCTGTTCTTGTTAGTGTCAAACTCCTACAGTAATTAACATACATCAAATGGAAAAATGATGATGTGGCTGGCCCTGCCACTTGTGAGTAATGCTGCTGTCCCAAACTCCTACCAATAAAAAATTTACAACATATCAGACCGTCACATATTCTCTGTGAACAGATGCTTTATTGGGCTGAGGCAACAACTGCAGAATCCAGGATTATAAATCAGGACTTCTGAATCTGGTGATTTCATTCAGGAACCCCTGAATCAAGCAATGTCTGTCAGGAACTGGAATCTAATAATGTGAGGACAGAATTTCAGAAGCTGATGCACATTCTAAATTTGTTCAGGTTGATGGATCACTGCTCCCCTCTATAGATAACAATTCCCAGCATGTACAAATCTTACTAAATAAACCCCTGAAGCCTTCAAATTATGCACACTATCAATTCTTCTAACCATATGTTTCCATTACTATTGCCCTCATCTTCACCATCTCTCTTGTCCACTCTTAGGTCCTTTCTCTAATTAGATTATAACTGCTTGGGGGCAAGGGCTAGCTTTTTGAGCTGGGAGCCTGGTTAGTGACTGGAGCCTTGTAGTGCTACCATTATAGAAATAATAATAATAATTAACAACCGTAGTAAGTCTGGGAATTTTTAAGATAGCTGTGCCAAGTATTTTTTTCTTTCCAAAGATGAAGATAGTCAAAGCAGACATCAATATAAGTGTTGAGATGGCTTTAAGGTGATACATGAGCTGAAAGGGCAGTTACGGCAGCAGTAGCCTACCTAAAGGATTCTGGTGTGGATCCTCCCAGACAGCAACTGAAGTTAAAATCATTTCAATTGGATAGGGAACAAATAGACCAAATCAGTCCAGATAGCTCTCACCTGCCAGAATCCTGGGACATCTCTGGCCCTGAACAACTAACTGTGAGTGGGGGAACTGGAGAAGAGGGAAGTGGCTAAAGCACATTAGCTACTCAAAAATGCAGGCTGAAGTCTGAAGCTGGAACTATTGTGAAGACACTCTAAGGCTGGGAGTCTAATTCACAGAATTTGTTAATTTATTAATTGCTGATTTTCCCAAGACTATTCTGTCTCCCCCAGCCTCATGAGCTTTTGAGTTTTCATCCCCCGGTCTTAATTCTTTCTGGGGAAAAGTAGTGCAAGTGGGAAGTATCCCTTCTCCAGGGCCTCCCTAGGGTGATTTACATAATTTCTCAAATTTCTGGGTGGGGAGTTCACTCAGGCGTTGTTTAAGTTTTTAGAAGTAAAACTTAGAATATTGAACCTGACTCTTTTTGCTGCTGACAATTCCTGGAGGAAGAGCTACATTTTTTTTTCTGGTTGTGAGCTGAAAAAATATATAAAATTGTAAAACAAACATGTAAATAAATAGAAAATTGATTTTTTTTAATCTAAAATATCACAGGAATACCCAGGCTAGTCTGACAGATGCCATAGGCTCACTGACTTTTTGGAAAAGAGATGTCTTTTGACCTTTGTGGTAAAACACTACTTTTCATGAGGCAACAGCTTTAACACAAATAGAAAAAAACTGCAAACTTGCGCAAGTAAAACAGCAAGCCTCCATCTTGGGAACAAAGGAATTGTTACATTGAATCAGACCAGTGGGCCTCTGAGTATCTTGTCAACTGTTTTAGAGGAAGTTGTAGAAATTCTCTAGGAGACAACTATGGAATAATCTTCTTAATGTGGACATAGAGCAGTTAACTAGGAATGTGGCTATGCAGTAATTTAATGTCTGTTGTATGTGAGGGTCAGTGGGATAAAGGTCTGTATGCATGTATTAGTCTAATTTAATAAGGGTCTGTTGGAAAACAAGCAGGAAAGCAACACAATAAATCTAAATAAGCAAGTTTCCAATGAACACTGTGGGAACTTAGTAGGGCAATGGCCTATTTCCAGGCTTCAGTCACAAGTTGCACAGCTGTTTTGTCAATGCTGGGGAGTCACAGGGCTATGAACAGTTAAAGAAGTGATTTATTCCCCAAAGCAGGGGAGTGAAATGGTTTGTGAGTTAAGGAAACAGACTATGCCACATAGACCCTGAAGATATCAGGAGGTTTATAGGAATCATAGACCTACCAGGATCTTTGTGTGGAAAATGGACAGACACCTGGTAAGCAAGATGTGTGTATAGACTGCTTCATTGTTTTAAGACTTGTTTTCTCTTAAATTCTTTTGTACTAAACAAATAATATAGGCAACACTTCCCTAAACTGAGACTCTCTGGTCTGGTAGGACAATGGACTCCTGGACCAGAGAGCCCTGGGGCATGGAGGCCAGAGGCAGGCCAGGAGCCCTAGGGCAGGAGGCTCAGGAGGTGCAGTGGGGCACCACAGTGCGGAGAGGTCCAGTCAGGATCAGCAGCACAGCTGGCTGAAAGCAGGGAGGCTGGCCAGGGCTGGAAATGGAGCCACCGGGAGACTGGTGGCAGGGGATCTCCCCTGGTCTGTCAAATTCTTTCATTCGGGACTGGTCAGGTTCCGAGAGTGCCTGACTATGGAGTCCAACCTGTACTTCACTTTTAAGAAGGCTTTTTGGTCCTTGTCTGATGGGAACAGAACAGCAGGAAATGAACACAAGTCATGTCTGCTTCAGCAGTCATGGTTAGCACCTGGGGACTGTAGCTCAAGGCCCAGTCTGAGAATAGGAAAATCATATGATTCTGTTCCAAGAGAGAGGTAATAGCTGGGGTGGTCTGTGTCGCAGTTAGACTGATAACTGTGACACTGCCCATAAGGGAAGTTTCTTCCTTAGCCTTAGATGTTAAAGGTTGCCAAACGTCCTGAAGCATAAGGCTGTAGATCCCTCCTGTTTTAATCTTATCTAACATAACTGTGGATATCTAATGGATGACAGGAAAGAGATCACGTGACGATTACCTATTGTATTCCCTCACCTCTGGGGCATCTGGTAT